TATGATGATGACGTGTGTGCATGCGTGTGTGTGCGTGTGTGTCTGTGTGTGTGCGCGTCTCTCTCTGTGTGTGTGTGTGTAAGTATGTGTGTATCTGTTTTATATATCCAGTGCTCATAACTCCTCCATCCCTCTTGTTGCAGCGGAAACAGGCCCAGTTCTATGAGAACATCGTCAAGGTGATCCGACCCAAACCGGACTACTTTGCCGTGGGCTACTACGGACTGGGTTTCCCCTCCTTTCTCAGGGTACGTCGGCACAGCTTCCTGTTCCTGTCTGCCAGACACACACCATATTTCTGTTACCGTCTGCCGTGAATGAGTGAGCAGCACGTGAACCAGCCTGTCATAACCAGCCTGTCATAACCAGCCTGTCATAACCAGCCTGTCATAACCAGCCTGTCATAACCAGCCAGGCATAACCAGCCAGGCATAACCAGCCAGTCAATACCAGCCAGTCAATACCAGCCAGTCAATACCAGCCAGTCAATACCAATAATAAATAAAGCCTGAATACACGGCCTTCTGTGGAATCCGTTTAACGTTCTGGTGTAAAGTCTTCTGCGTCTGCTCCATGCTCATGGAATCGGTTTAACGCTCTGGTGTAAAGTCTTCTGGTTCTGCTCCATGCTCATGGAATCGGTTTAACGTTCTGGTGTAAAGTCTTCTGGTTCTGCTCCATGCTCATGGAATCGGTTTAACGCTCTGGTGTAAAGTCTTCTGGTTCTGCTCCATGCTCATGGAATCGGTTTAACGTTCTGGTGTAAAGTCTTCTGGTTCTGCTCCATGCCCATGGAATCGGTTTAACGCTCTGGTGTAAAGTCTTCTGGTTCTGCTCCATGCTCATGGAATCGGTTTAACGCTCTGGTGTAAAGTCTTCTGGTTCTGCTCCATGCTCATGGAATCGGTTTAACGCTCTGGTGTAAAGTCTTCTGGTTCTGCTCCATGCTCATGGAATCGGTTTAACGCTCTGGTGTAAAGTCTTCTGGTTCTGCTCCATGCTCATGGAATCGGTTTAACGCTCTGGTGTAAAGTTTTCTGCGTCTGCTCCATGCTCGTGTCGGGTGTGATCTCACTACACTGCCTTTTGACCAGTGAATGGGAAATATCGTCCCAGTTGCTTTTTCTTCTTACTGAAAGCAATCTGGGAATCTTAAGCAGGTGTTTGAGTGTTGAAGGGAGAAAGTGCACTGTGCTGAATGTTTGCTCTTAGTTTAGTGTGAGGAAAGTGGGGGAGAGAGAGAGAGAGCAAAAAGGGAGAATATATTGTTGTCACGCTGTGACTACTAAACTGACCACACCTCACTACTCAGGCTTTCCCTATATATTCTCTACTCTTTTCTTTTCTACTCCCGTCAGTACATAAGGGGATGCTTTCCTCGCACTGTTTGCTGGATGCTGACATGATTATGTAATATCTGGTACAGCTTTTCTAGTTGTCTTAGCAACCATTCTGACAATATGCCTCACTGTGACTCGCCTTGTGTAATTGTGCTCTAGGTACATACATCTGCCCAGGGTATTTCTGTACAGTATTAAGCAGCACTCTGTGGGGTTAAATAGTTCTGGTTCTGTCTATCAAAGTGCTGTCAATCTCACAATGTTGTTACATGATGACTCTTGGTAGATTAAGATTGACATTGAGGTATGTATTCTTTCTTGCTCACACATCCTTTGAGGTATGATATCTGCCCATTGTCTAGTTCAGGTGTTGAGGTATTTGTCATTATATCTTCCCATTGTCTATCACAGATCTAGAGGTGTTAATCATTATATCTGCCCACTGTCTATCACAGATCTAGAGGTGTTAATCATTATATCTGCCCACTGTCTATCACAGACAGACGTTGAGGTATTATATCGGCCCACTGTCTATCACAGAACGACGTTAAGGTATTATATCTGCCCACTGTCTATCACAGACAGACGTTGAGGTATTATATCGGCCCACTGTCTATCACAGAACGACGTTGAGGTATTATATCGGCCCACTGTCTATCACAGAACGACGTTAAGGTATTATATCTGCCCACTGTCTATCACAGACAGACGTTGAGGTATTATATCGGCCCACTGTCTATCACAGAACGACGTTAAGGTATTATATCTGCCCACTGTCTATCACAGAACGACGTTAAGGTATTATATCTGCCCACTGTCTATCACAGAACGACGTTAAGGTATTATATCTGCCCACTGTTTATCACAGAACGACGTTAAGGTATTATATCTGCCCACTGTTTATCACAGACAGAAGTTGAGGTTTTGAGTAGATGTTAAACTGATTGTCCTCACTAAATCAAAGTGCTTTTATTCTCCCATTTGTATTCGGTCACGACTCCACTCCGGTCAAGTTGCCATCTATTACCATTTAAATGGAAGGTGGATTGAGGTGAGACTTTCTGCTTTATGGGTCACTGATGGAACAGTTTGAGGTCATTTTCTTTCTGCCAGAGCACATAGCTAAAATGATAAAACTAGTGTCATTGATAATGTGAATGACTGTCTTCTTATTTTCCAATATTTCTAAGACTGTTGTTTATTCCATGTGTGGCGCTTTTAGAGGATTCTCCACTGTTTTGTCATTTCCTCACCATGTCTTGATAGGGAGCTCTTTATTTGTCACCTGTGTGTCCGTCACCTGTGTGTCCGTCACCTGTGTGTCCGTCACCTGTTTGTATGTCACAAGATATTTATTGTCACCTCTATGTCAGAAGACATTTACTGTCTTGTTTTATGTCAAAAGACATTTCCCACTCCAGAAGGCACGAAGAATCATTTGATGACCGGCAGGATGTGTTGCTCTAAGTCTCAGCATTTTATCATATTCGAGGTTTTTGCTGGACAAAATTTCTGCGTCCTTTTCCAATCCTTTACTCTATTCCTCTCGTGTTTTTTTAACTTGTTCATCTTCAATCTCTCTCTCATAGTCCATAACTGGTGTACTTACTGTCAATCAACCTTCTGCAGGCTACCTTCCTGGAACTGAGAATGCTTTACTGGTGCAGCTGGGAATACCTGATGCATCACTGACTGCAATCAGATGACAAGTTGATGCAAATTAATTCCAGCCTAGTGGTAATCATTACAAACAAGATCACGCATACCAAATGGCACACTAGTCACTATGTGGTGCTCTATGTCCCCTGAACGTCCACTATATAGGGAATAGGGGTTATTTCAGGACACATACTCTGTTATTGTCGTTGTTAAATGGTACAATGGGAGTTTATTAAGGAAATTAGTCTACAGCGCGGGTCATCAGTTCTCAAGTGCTGAAGTGATCTTGTGTTAATAGCAGTGTGTCTGTACCTGTACATAAAGATTATTGCTGGCTATTTGCCACAACACTGGGCTATACCAGGCTAATACAACACTGGGCTATACCAGGCTAATACAACACTGCGCTATACCTGGTTAATACAACACTAGGCTATACCAGGCTAATACAACACTGGGCTATACCAGGCTAATACAACACTGGGCTATACCAGGTTAATACAACACTGGGCTATACCAGGCTAATACAACACTGGGCTATACCTGGTTAATACAACACTAGGCTATACCAGGCTAATACAACACTGGGCTATACCAGGCTAATACAACACTGGGCTATACCAGGCTAATACAACACTGGGCTATACCTGGTTAATACAACACTAGGCTATACCAGGCTAATACAACACTGGGCTATACCAGGCTAATACAACACTAGGCTATACCAGGCTAATACAACACTGGGCTATACCAGGCTAATACAACACTGGGCTATACCAGGCTAATACAACACTGGGCTATACCTGGTTAATACAACACTAGGCTATACCAGGCTAATACAACACTGGGCTATACCTGGTTAATACAACACTAGGCTATACCAGGCTAATACAACACTGGGCTATACCAGGCTAATACAACACTGGGCTATACCAGGCTAATACAACACTAGGCTATACCAGGCTAATACAACACTGGGCTATACCAGGTTAATACAACACTGGGCTATACCAGGCTAATACAACACTGGGCTATACCAGGCTAATACAACACTGGGCTATACCAGGCTAATACAACACTAGGCTATACCAGGCTAATACAACACTGGGCTATACCAGGTTAATACAACACTGGGCTATACCAGGCTAATACAACACTGGGCTATACCAGGCTAATACAACACTAGGCTATACCAGGCTAATATAACACTGGGCTATACCAGGCTAATACAACACTGGGCTATACCAGGCTAATACAACACTAGGCTATACCAGGCTAATACAACACTGGGCTATACCAGGCTAATACAACACTAGGCTATACCAGGCTAATACAACACTGGGCTATACCAGGCTAATACAACACTGGGCTATACCAGGTTAATACAACACTGGGCTATACCAGGCTAATACAACACTAGGCTATACCAGGCTAATACAACACTGGGCTATACCAGGCTAATACAACATTGGGCTATACCAGGCTAATACAACACTATGCTATACCAGGCTAATACAACACTATGCTATACCAGGCTAATACTGAATGCTACCTGGTTATCAAATATGGGCAATAAAGTGGTGAAATCCCAAATATCTTAATAGAACCACTCTGGACCTGAGATGTCTCATTGGCCTGTTGGATTAGAGTGGGTGGGTTCACAATGGCTCACTAAGCAACCAATAGTGCACTTTGCACAGGCGTAGGCCAGCTGCATAGGCATTAGTGTGTGATGTAGGACACGCCCATGGCTCTTAGATTGTTTCCATTGGTAATACATCATTGTATTTCTTTTATTATATTAGAGTACATGATGTCATATCACTCCTGTCATGTCTGCGTGAGTCCTTTTCTCTCCCCGAAGAATTGATGAACACAGAGCTGCCTAACTCAGCTACTTCACGTTAATGGATTTACATTTTTTATTTAACTTTCTGTCGTTTAGCCGACATCCAGATCCAGAGCGACGACTTTAAGTACTGAGCGCCTGCATTGCCAACCTGGCCCCCGTGGGAATCGAACCCACGGCTTTTGACGTTGCAAGTGCAATGTTGTACCAACTGAGCTACGCAGAGGAAGTGTTAGTTAGCATAAGTGCTAGTTATTAGGATATTCTGTTATGAATCAAACTATTTCAGAATAATAGTAATCAAGACTGAAAATTGAAATAAGTGTCTTTGAGATGTTCGCTACAAGTGCCTCTGGAGTGTTCAGAGCCATTCAGTTATGTTTTCTTATAGACTTAATTTATAATTATACATTTTATTTTTTGCCATTCATTCCCGTCATCTACAACAATACCCCATAATGACAGAGCAAAAACACTCTAAATTGAGCAGAGATGTATCAGTGTCCTTTTAATCATGTTCGACATCGTCTGCCTAGAACTTCGGAATCGGAATCCCCCCTGTCTGTATATATATCTGTATATGAAATCCCCCTTGTCTGTATATATATCTGTATATGAAATCCCCCCTGTCTGTATATATATATATATATATATCTATATGGAATCCCCCCTGTCTGTATATATATATATATCTATATCTGGAATCCCCCCTGTCTGTATATATATCTGTATATGAAATCCCCTTGTCTGTATATATATCTGTATATGAAATCCCCCCTGTCTGTATATATATATATATATATCTATATGGAATCCCCCCTGTCTGTATATATATATATATATATCTATATCTGGAATCCCCCCTGTCTGTATATATATATATATATATATATATATATATGGAATCCCCCCAAAGGCAACTGTAGTTTCTCTGCAGATATCAGTCATGTCTCCTGAAGGATCTAAATCTATTTGGCCTGAATCACGAAATACATTTATATTCATTTTAAATTAACTCTATAACTGAACAATATATGAGTTGGTGATGAGGTCTGAATACTTTCTATTATACATCCGATTAATTTGTAATTGTAACAAATGAATAGCAGTTTAATAGCAGTAGGAGCAATGGAGGGAAAAGTCAGTATAGAAGTAGTACTTTTACACTGCATCAGTATTGCTATTTAATGTAGTTTAGGTGCCCGGCTAATACTCTCATTGTATACTATGTGTGACCTTAATACGAGGTGGTGGGTATAAAATGATATCTACTACCTGTTACAAGACTTAGTATCACAATCCAGCGCAGTTTCTTATTCAGGTGTTTTTCAGCATTTTAGTGGGAGCATATTGCACATCTTCTCATCTTCCATTTTAACGTTTGTTTCTCCCCCGTTCCTCTGAAGCCACTGTATTCGGTCTATTATGTTCGGCTCAACTGAACCATTCAGGCTTTTCCAAAAGTTCCTTTAAAATATTTATCAAACCGTTTCAACACTCTCAAGTATCAGCACTCTCATATTTTTTTGTTCGACATAGATTTTGTCCTAAATGACACACTAAGCACTCTGCAGTTCACTAAATCAGTAGGCAATAAGGCAATAGATCGGGACTTGGTTGCCAGTGGTGACAAGCAAACAGAGCTTTTGACTGGCATTAACAGATAAATGAACCATTTCCTCTCTAAGTGAAAGTGAATCTTTTCTCACTCTCAGTGTGCATTTAATTCCTACAAACCACATGTGGTAATTCCTGTGTCAGTTAAAGATGGCAGTTAGCCCTTATTTTCTGCAGTAAGTGCTTGCATTGTCCTCACGAGTAAGATGGGTCATTGGTCAAATAATCAGAGTAGAATAAAATGGTTGATAGATTGATGATTCCTGAATTGATTGATTATCTGTATTGTGTTGTATTGACCCAGTCTTCATCATTAAAGGATTCTTCACCACTCCCAGCATGCACATAGAGGGCGTTATTGGATTCCATTTATACCACCAGCTATCCATGCCAACAGCACATGTCAATAATGCATGAAATTACTCATTTTATTCTAGATGCTGTTTGATATTCAACATCACATTTCATTCTAGATGCTGTTTGATATTAAACATCACATTTCAATATAGATGATGTTTGATATTAAACATCACATTTCATTCTAGATGCTGTTTGAAATTTAATGTTTTTATTTTATTTGCCATACCATAAAAATAATTTCTGGTCTCTCCTATTTTGAAAAAACACTGACTCCCTTGACAAGCCGAAGTTTGAGATCTGTTATCGTTTTTTCCTTTTTATTGTCTTTGTGATGGAGCAATCTGGGGTGGAACAGTTTTGAGAATGAGTACCATTGATTTGAGATAGACCTCTAGAATATTTAATGACATAAAAAAGCCCTTTTAGTTCCCATGTTTAGTATACATGATGCATGATTGTATTCTATCACTTCATTTCCCTCTAGAGATTTTCCCTGCCACCTCTTTATGACAGACAGATTTAGCTGTTTCTTGATTCTGCCGTCATTAGAATTGATGACACACACACAGGGATGGAACGGGGTGACGTGCGGAAATCAATGAGCTCTTACACACCTTATCGCTCAAAGCAGATTTGAAAACTGCCAAAGGCACATTTCCAGGAAGCAATGCATTTAATTAATTGCAAGATTGGGGCTGTTTGCCGATGCTTGAATGTGCATTGAGTTGGCCTTGTGTTTGTGTCGGCATTGGCCGTGCTCAGAAAGCACAAGGGGAGGTGACATTACGAGGGGGAACATGGTTCCATGCCTGTTGAGCACAGAAAAAAAACCTCACTGTCAATGCTTCACACTACTGACGGATCTTGCATCAGGCAATACGTATTTTCCTCCCAGGCTGAATGCTGTGTACTTAGTGTTCTATATCGGTACCACCGTTCTCCACCACGCTAATATATTGTTCAGCGTTTGATGTGCCGGAGCTCCCCATGGCTTAGTGTCGACCCGTCTTCTACACTCAGCGTGAGCTTGTTTTGCTCGTATAGGATGATGGGTGTATTGTTTGTTATTCGCGCCTGCATATTAGCCACCCCGTCATCCGACACGTATTTCAGTCCAACTCGGGCGCTTGCTATTCATTCCTGGTTTGCCAACGCGATCTGTAGTTCAACATGTCACAAACGATTAGCGTGACCGACTCCTGCTGAATGCCCTTTTAACTACCTTAGTATTATAGGTAATGGTCTAGTCAGGTCCGGTCTGATGTCCAGTCAGTTACAGTTAGCCCATTGTTGTGAACAGAACAGTGTGAGTCCTAAATGACACGGTAAATTCCCTTTATTGTGCATTATAGCAGAAGCCGATGGGGTGCAGGAATCGGGTGTAGATTGGGATGCATCCACAGTGTGACGATTCAGAGCCTGTTCCCCTGTTGAGCACAGATCCCGCTGATCCAGGGTTGATTGTGACGGTTAATTATGATAATGTATTCTGTCTTGGGTTCAGCATCCTAGTTTCTGCCGAACACAATCTGGATCGTTTCTCTGAGCCTGTTGTTGTTTTGGGGCGTGAACCATTTCTTCATGATCTTGCAGACACCTTTGTCAACCTCTGCACTCTTTGTCACGGACTGCACACCACAGCATCAGAGTGACCAGTTATGGCTCTAGTTATGTTTGGGTCAGTGTTTCTGTTTTGTTCCAAGTGTCTCTCGGTTGGGTCGGGAGCATAAAATGAGATTCTGTTCTGTGTAAAGTAATGGACTATCAGGTAAATCTTATCAAATGACGTGTTCATGGAGTGAGCCAGTGAAGTCCAGAGAGGCCATATTAGTAAGCAGACAGAAAACACTTGTTATCAGCACCTGTTATCACCCTGCTATTACAAGAGCAGTGATGTGGTCTGAAGTACAGGCCAGTTGACTAGAACTATAAACACGGTACCATGTAAAGATTGCTGGTGTTAATGAGGTGAGGGAGTGATATCTTCTAACTGCTAGATGATTGATGTTTGAGCACAACAACAGAAAACCCCCAGCAGAAATGTGCCACCTATTCCTGACGTTTCTCGCTTGATTTCAACAAAACAGAAGTTATGTGGTGATAATGAGATAAAAAAGTTTCGGAGGCTATTCTTCTCTTAACCATATATCCTTTCGGGTCCATACAAAGGTTTTTTATCTGCCATTCAACCTGTATTCATGCAGTATTTTTCAACAGTTCCATGTATCAGAATGATAAACAGATCTCAGTCCTTTATCACAGCTTCCACCTGCCGGTGGTCTCTTCTGTACCTCAGGTTCACGATCTTAGAGAGATCAAGTTCTCCTTTTCCTTGACAGCCAGTTACGTGCGTTTTTCCTGCTCCACCATTCGGTGGGATGTCATTATAAGGCAGGGAGGTTAGCTGCAACTTCCATCTCCAAGACTCTCAGACGTCTAGCCCGGCTTAGCATCAAGAGTTCCACCAAATCCCATTCTGTAGTCAGATAAGGTCAGCCTTTGTGCTCTGTGGTGGTTCAGCAGTATATATTACTGCAACGTGGTTTTGAATCAGGAAAACCTTTTCCCCCTGTCGCTCTCTCTCTCTTTCCGTCTCCAGTAAAACATGTAATGCCTCAGAACACATTTTTAAGAACGATGCGGATGTTCTTGTGTTTTTTTCTCCAGAACAAGATGTTCATCTACAGAGGTAAGGAGTATGAGAGGAGGGAGGACTTCGAGGCTCGACTCCTAACCCAGTTCCCCAACGCCGACAAGATGAAGACTACGACACCGCCCGGGGAAGATATCAGGATCTCACCGTCACAGTGTATCCGAATCACAAATCACATGGAATCTGTCAATTACATTCATAAAATGTGTATACTAGTAACATTTTTGTAACATAAGTTAATTACTTACTAATAATTCACACCGGTGACGTATACATTCAGAAGCTGGTGCGTATGTAGCAGAGATTCTTATGTCTGAGTTGCACTTTCTAGTTAATTCAAGGTGCCAGTATTTCCCTTAATGGCTGTGATGAAGGCATCCAGTGTTTCACTGTGAAGCCCATTCTGGAGCTCCCGCCGAAGTTCCAGAACAAACCGGTCTCGGAACAGATTGTCAGGTATGGATCCAACGTCCTTGCTGCTCACTGTGTGAAAGGGGCAGTGTTCCAGAAACACAATAATGGACACGTATATTCATGCATTATTGAGAATAGAACTTAGTGTAAATGTTGAAACCAATCAGAAGTCAACATTTCAG